ATTGCAGGGTCCATGTCGAATCATGAAGTGCTTGTGTCAGAACTAGGCCTCCTCAGTGGCTTAGACACAACAGTGGAAAGCATAGCCAGGTGCACATGAAGGATACGACAGTACACCAGAACCTGCAGAGGACACCTGGTACCATAACAATGAATGGAGGACAGAACAAATTGATCAACTACTCCAGTCAAGCATTGGCAGTGAAAATCTAGGCAAACGAAGACTCTAAGATAGACTATGCCAGCTAGTGGATCCTGGAGGGATTTCATCGTTGTTGGAGTGTAGAGATCGGCAGCAATTCAGAACCGTTGAACTATCAAAATCACTTGAGCAGGACCCTCAGAGCTTGCCCCACAGAGGGGCCCCTGGGACGGTTGGGAGACTGGGCATGGCTTCTCCCTTTGTCTCTCCACTTCCTCAAGATACAGGAAGGAAAAAAGAGAATGCGGAAACAATGGTCTTATCCACTTTCTTGTAGCCTTGACCCTTTGATCACTAATCAACTATACAAAGATCATCAAAAAAAGAGAGAGAGAGATCAAAGATGCCTATTGCCTATTTGAATCCAATAAAAATTCAAACAGTAATTGGGGAAGAGAAATGGTATGGATTAATGTTGATTTAATCTCAACACATAGTCTCTATAGATGCTTGATATTGTTGATGTCCGGCCACCAGGATATCCAGGGCTTCTGTTATTGGGAGAGCAGGAGCATGATGCACAGAAGGAAGCAGGACCAAGGCAACCGAGTCAGCAGCCATCAGGAGACGTTCCCTAATGGGGAAAGTGGTCAGAAGAAAAAGGACACGGAAAGCTGGCAAGTAGCCAAGAGCCAAGCCGTACAAAAGACCAGTGATATGAATTGACGTTACAAACCCAACAGAGAAATCAAGTAAAAACTATTCTTGGGCCCAGCGCGGTGGCGCAAGTGGTTAAAGGTCCTCACCTTGCACGCCCGGGATCCCATATGGGCGCCGGTTCTAATCCCGGCAGCCCCACTTCCCTTCCAGCTCCCTGCCTGTGGCCTGGGAAAGCAGTTGAGGACGGCCCAAAGCTTTGGGAACCTGCACCCGCGTGGGAGACCCGGAAGAGGCTCCTGGCTTCGGATTGGCATAGTATCGGCCCGTTGCACTCACTTGGGGAGTGAATCATCGGACGGAAGATCTTCCTCTCTGTCTCTCCTCTCTGTATATCCGCCTTTCCAATAAAAAAATAATAAAAATAAATCTTTAAAAAAAAAAAAACTATTCTTATTAAGTAAAAATCACTCAGTCAAAACTTGGCTCACTTCTCTGTCCTGTATCAAGAAAAAAGCTAGTAGACATAAACTGGTAATCACATAGCTACAATATCTGCAGGAAAGCATTCTTCTCTAATTTTGTTTTTGTTTTATGCTGGGCAAAAGTTGAAACAGAAACCAGGATTTGATGCAGGTGTTTCTTCAGGACAGGTGGGCCTCCATAAGTGTAATTTAATAAATTTTACACCTAAAGCTCAAGCATTTGAAATCAAGCCCATCCAATATTCCCATGTTTGACATCCTCTGACAGCAGAGTAAAGATGTGGGGACTGCAGTAACGATGACTCTGAACTGGAGACAAAGGTTTTTCCTTGTCCCACTTTCCTGTTCCAAATTACAAGACACAGACCTAAGCATCTCCATTAGAAAAATATTTCTAAAAATGTGGCAAAATGAGCTTCCTCAAATCTTGGGAAACAATTGGGTAGTATCTGGCTTTAACAACAGTGATAGGGAAAGAAAGTTTAGTAAGTATAGTTTAACATTGAGTTGGCCTACTTGCCAACAAAAGAACTACTTGATAAATCCAAACTTGTCTCGGACTTCAGCACAAGGTGTCTAACTCTCACAGTTGGAAATCCTTGCTGACTCTGAAGCATGCGACATTAGCCCAAGTCCTGCTTCTTACTTGCTGCTAATATGACACCCAAAAAATACTCATCCCGTTAGACAACTGCTTCCTTGCTAAACAAAACTGAAGCCAAACAAGTACTTTTAAAGTTTTACTGAAAGATTTGCACTGAACAATTACCCAACTAAAATAATTATAGAATAAGTGTATGGTCCTAGAGATAATCATTATGAAGGCGCACAAAACGAAAAATTTTCATTTAAGAAGTCATTACTTTTGCCTTTTATGTCAGGAGATAGAGCTATCATTATGATGTCCAACTTAAAAGGGTCACAGATCATTATAAAACAAGGAGCAAGATCCAGTAAGTACTAATTCCATCAAGGGTGCTTAGAATTTTATGTAAGGTGAAACTTGTTCTTCTCTGGTTCTTGATAATGCAATTTCTGTCTCTTCAGAAAATTAGCTGAAGAAATAAAATTGCAATCTTTTTGGAAAAGGCCAGTCTGAGGCTCAGATAATGGTGGTTCTATGATTCTTGACAAGTCATTAAAATTCATATTCATTTCTTTTTTTTTAAAAGATTTATTTTTATTATTTTTTTATTGGAAAGGCGGATATACAGAGAGGAGAGACAGAGAGGAAGATCTTCCGTCCGATGATTCACTCCCCACGTGAACACAACGGCCAGCACTATGCCAGTCCGAAGCCAGGAGCCTCTTCCGGGTCTCCCACGCGGGTGCAGGGTCCCAAAGCCTTGGGCCGTCCTCGACTGCTTTCCCAGGCCACAGGCAGGGAGCTGGAAGGGAAGTGGGGCTGCCGGGATAGAACTGGCGCCCATATGGGATCCCGGGTATGCAAGGTGAGGACCTTAACCACTGCGCCACCACACCGGGCCCCATATTCATTTCTTATCCTTTAACTCTACATCTGCCTTGGCACAATATGATATAAAAGGGAAATTCCAATTGAAAATGACTTTTTGTGTTAGAAGAGAAGATGTATTTTGAAAAGGAATAGAATAAACCTGAAACAAATTGTTCACTTTCGCTTCTCTATTTAAAAAAAAATTAGTTTTCTAATTTCTGAAGAAAACTCCCTCATTTTACATCATTGTAAAAATCCAAGTATATGATGAAGTTAAACTGAAGTGAATGGCTAACAGGCAGGTATGTAATCCAATGCGTATTTTTCTTGTGCTTTCATCACTTTTCTCAATGACAGAGCACACTACATTATCATTTAATAACAAATGCAACTGAGAAAGCACTGGCATACAATGAAACCACAGAACAACAACCAATAACTATTAAGCAATTAACATTTGCCATGCACTGAGTTGAACATGCCTTATTTTAAAAGCTTTGTTCTCATGACAGACAACCCTATGAGGTATTAGTGCTGGCATTATCATCTTTCCTACAAATACAAAAACTGAGGCTTGACAAAATGGAATGGCCACAAAGCTACCAAGTAGTAGAATCAAATGACATTATGAATTAAGGATAATATAGTCATAATCAGGGACGACACTGAATTCTTTCCAGTGTAAGGAATGCAGGGGTGTCTTCAAAAAGTCCAAGAAAAAAATGTTATGATGAAAATAATCTACACTATTATTTTGAACATTTTTTGCACCAAAATAAACTTCTCTTATAATTCCGTGTTTCTATAATCTGGTTAGATACTATAGAAGGGCATTACATTATCAGCCTTACCTCTTAGTTACAATATTCCTCAAAGAGGAAGCAATGGTTACCTCTGCCTCATGCCTTTAGGCAGACTCAGGCAAACAGGAACACTTGCATAAGAAGAACCAAGAGTCAAGCGGATTATGGAGACAAGGAGCAAGTCTCCTGTGAAAACTACATGGCTGCACGGGCACTCATGTGTGTGCACCTGTGTTTGCCTGCACATGGACACACAATTCTATCCGATTGGTCATGATACATCCAGTATTTCTTTTCCCATGACCTTCTAGATGTTTCCTAAGTCCTTGTGACCACCAAATAAGGCCCTGATTGAAAAACTAATGATAGGAAAAACTACAGGGAGAGAAGCAAATGTCAACAATTGTACTTCTTGTACTAGGTTAATCTCTTAAGCCATGATGATGGGGTGAGCACGACTTCCTTTTCTCTAAAGAGGTTCCCTGGGTTATACCCAAGGCGACCCCTTGGGCTGCCAAAGAGTACCATGTGGCTGTCAGGAGTTGGATTACAAATTGCTTTGAGCCCCTGTGTGTGCTTTCAGGCTAAGAGAGTTGTGCCATGCTATATGAATTTACCACGCCCCAGGGAAACGTGGTCACTTGTGACAAAATCTCTTCTCCCCATGTATGTGAGGTGATGAGCGGCCAGGGTGTGTGACATCACACTGTGTGATGCGTGGTGGGCTGGTGGCTATGCAGCAGGGTGTCCAGCAGGGGATGGGAACTGGGTTGGGTAGGAAGAGAAAGCTCTTCTTCTGTGACGGGTGTCTAGAGGGACAGTCTGTGTTGGGGTATAGCTGGTATTGCTTGAGGCTAGGGGCAAGGTAGTGTGGGACAGCTTGCCTGCAAGGCATGCGGTCTCGCCACACAGAAAAGCCCATGGGGGTGCACCCTCTGAGCATGGCAGGTTGTGTCCTGGGTCTGTGGGTAGTGCCTGAGGGCGCTGTGGACTGGGGTGTTTTACATGTGGAGTGGTGTGTGCTCAAAGTGGTGCATACCGGATGATGCATGCGGTGTGCTAGGTAGGGACCTGGGCTAGGAGGCGGCGCCAAGGAGAGGGGCCTAGGTGGTGATGAGTGCGGAGCAATACAGAGCGCCTCATGGGGTAGGGTGGGGTGGGGTGCGGAGGCTACGGCGCTGGGTGACCCGCGTGTTCCTCGCGCGGCCAGGGGCACTGCAGCATGGGCAAGGTGGTAATGACGGGCTGAGAGGGTGGGCTGGGCGAGCAGTGGACGAGCCGCGTGGGCGGCGAGTCCGCGAGGGTGTGCGCCGCACAGCCAGCCCGCTGCCTGTCCCCAGAGCCGTGCCGGAGGGGCCCCTTCCCCGCCACCGCCCGCCCGTCCCCCACCCCTCCTCCACCCCGGCCTCTTCCCCTCGTCCTCGGGCGCGGCGCCCCGCGAGGCTCCGCGCGTCTCACCTGGTGAAGGCGAAGTACATGAGGCTGACGATGGTGAAGCTGAGCAGGGTGATGGTGTGCGGCCGGTAGAAGAAGTCGATGGTGATGTCTTCCACTTGCTGCTCGTTGATCATCCGGAAATGCATCTTGTAGTTCACATCATCCTTGCTCAGGGTCCGGCTCCCCACGCAGGACGCCATGGCCCGCCTCCCCGTCCTGCCGCGGGGGCCGCGGTCCCGGCCCGCGGAGGCTGGGACCGCCGGGAACACGGGCCAGCAGCCGGACGGCGGGGCCGCGTCTGGCGCCCAGCACAGGCTGGGAGCGCAGGGAAGGACAGACGCGGGAGGGCGGGGTCGCGGCGCCGGCGACGCGGCCGCGGAGAGGTGGGGGGACGCCGAGGGCAGGCGCGTCGCTGGCCCTCTGGCTAGGCATCTCTGGAACCCCGGAGGGCCGTGCGGACCTCCAAGGCACGGAGCCGCGAGGGAAGAGGCTGCGCGAGCGGGGCGGCTGAGGCCCCTGGCGGCCGGCTCCCCCTGGTTCGCAGCCTGCCGTCTCCCCCTCCGCGCCGGCGGGCAGATGGTGTCGCCCACTCCTGCCGCAGCTCACGTGGGCCGGGCCTGGGCGGCGGACGAGCGGCGTGCGGGGCCCGGGAGCGGAGTGCGTTCTCGGCCGGGCCGAAACGCGGCAGCCTCGGCAGGACTGCACGCCGACGCACACGCCCCGCGCCACAGGTAAAGCAGGAGTCTGCGAGAGCGCGAGGGGTGCGCCCGGTGGGCTTTGGGTCCCCACGTCCACGCCCCCCACCACCGTAAAGGCCAGGCCTCATTGCGGGGCGTAGAGGCCCCTTGGTTGCTGGTGTGTGGGTCTGTTATGTGTTTTTGTTTTGTTTTGTTTTCCCTCGTTCGTGCAAAGAAAACACAGGCTGGATGAGCGTGCTCTACGAAGGAACCAGAAGTGGGTCCCACGTGCCGACAGGAAGTTGAGTTTGGGGAACTAAAACTAGCCCCCCCCCCCAAAAAAAAAGGCCCAGGGAGGGCGGCACCATTGTTGGAAAGGCTCTTTATCACGAAGCCACACCTTAACCCCCCCTTTCGTTTCCTGATTTGGTTTGTGAGGTAGAAATCCTGGAGCCAGTTGCTTGCCATGCCTGTTCCATTCCTAGCCGATGACCAAGCTCGTGGTTGGGAAATACCGTGTGATATTGGGATCAATTGTCAGTGTACCTGGAGAGCTCCACCCCCACCCCACCCCCAGCCTTCCAGATGAAAGAATCCTGAGAGATGAGCCCCCTGCTAACGTGTAGCAGGACTTTTATCTGCGTATGCCAGTGTGCCACCCATGTTAAAACCCTGCACTTGGCATGGATGCGTTTCTCTGCAGCTAGCAGGGGAGGGGTGCACCGCTGTGGGCTGGTAGGGGCGGCTGGGGGCGTGGGTCCGGAAGTGAGACCCAGCCCTCTCTGTGGCGAAGGCACAGTTGAGGCTGATTGAAGCGGTAACACAGCCCTCAAGTGGTGAAGGGATATTGTAGATAACAGTGGAAGGGTGCGTGTTAGCTGTAGGCACAAGGGTCCTCTTGTGACTGGAACATTGCAAGTGTCGCTGCCTAGTGTGGAAGCCACTGAGTCTGCAAAGACTCCACACTCAGTTTGGGATGGGGCGATCTGCTTTAGAATGGGATGTGCTTAGATAAGCTTAGCAGTGTAAAAGGCTAGAACTGGCAGGAACCTTAAGAGTGATTTCAGTGTCCTCCATGACTCTTAAAAAATAGGTATGGGGGACCTGACGTGGTAGCCTAGTGGCTAATCTCCTCACCTTGCACACTCTGGCATCCCATATGAGCACCAATTCTAATCTAGGCTGCCCTACTTCCCACCTAGCTCCCTGCTTGTGACCTGGAAAAGCAGTCAAGGATGACCCAAAGCCTTGGAACCCTGCACCCACGTGGGAGACCCAGGGGAGGCTCCTGGCTCCTGGCTTCAGATCAGCTCAGCTGTGGCCATTGCAACCACTTGGGGAGTGAATTGTCGGACAGAAGATCTTCCTCTGTATATCCAACTTTCACCAAAAAAGAAAAAAAAAAAGCTGTTATGGGGGCAATAGCTTTGATTTAAGCCCCTGCCTGCAACCACTGCCATCCCAAGTGAGCACCCATTGATGCTCCACTCCTGACCCAGCTCCCTTGCTAACGTTCCTTTCAGAAGGCAACTCAGGAGGACCCAAGTGCTGGGCCTCTGTGTGGAAGACCAGAATGGAGTTCCAGGTTCCTGGCTTCCCCTTCGTGCAGTCCTAGCCCCTGAAACCATGTAGGCATCCTCTGGTAGAAGAGCTGTGCTCTGCAATTCCACTGGAACTACATCCTCCGCAGAACCCTGACTGAGCCCTTGCTGGTTTCCACAGGCGTGGCCAGGTGTGAAGGCTGACAGCCTTGACTTCCAGATGGTACCCTGTGGCTGCTGAGGGGAAATGTACAGCCTTGGGGTCATGGTCCCACTGAGGTCTAACAAAAGCCGGCCACCCCACCCAGTGATCCTAAGTACTGCCTCTACAATTATCAGAATGAAAGTCATGCTTTCACTTGGGTCAGTCCCTTGGAGCAAATGTCCTAAAACTCAGAGATTAGAGCGCAAGCATTTGGCTTAATTCAGGTCTCAAGACAAGACTGAATTTCACCATGTAGAAAGCAAAGCCGAAAGTTGTACTGAACAGTGGATTCTACAGAATTCACTCATTTTGAGCTGTGTGTTCAATAACAGTAATAATGCTAATACGGTGATCTGGCTAACTATAAAATTCATTACTGGACTTTAATGGCAACCTTTGCTGATAAAAAAATATGGAAAGCAATTGCCCTTTAAGTCAAGATATACATGTATCCATTGCTGGTTTCTGTTTATTTCTTTCGCTTTATTTTGTCTCTTCATTTTGCTGTTACTTTTGACCTTTTCCTTTTGAAGGCTTTTCTTTTCCCTGTTTCCTACAGTGAGCCATAATTGACAAAGCTGATTTTGTTCAATTCCCTTTTGAAGAACAGCTTTACTTATGAGATAATTGTGTTCAGCTCTGGGGATAAAGCAAGAAGTTCCATCTTCCATGAGCAGAGATTACATTTTGATGATTCATTTAAGAATGAGTTTCATTTTTTATTTTTGACTAATTTATATCCATAAGATGAATATGAATAATTCAGTGTTATTTTGAGCTGCAGTCTGCTTCTAAAATGTCCTTCAAACCAATTTTCAAGAACGTTCATTTTGCATCACCATATTTTCTACAAATGCTTAAATTCAAATGGAGTTCCACTGTAATTTGAATATTTGCAATTTTTGTTGCTTTAAATGTTTGTCTTACATCAGTAATTTTGCTTTTTATTTTTATTGTAAGGCATATCTTTATTTTTTCCAGTTCAGAAGTTTCTTTCCTATGGCTTGTCACTGAGACTACTAAGTAAATTTCTTTTGACTGTTATGTTGTTTCTTTGCAGACCATGGGAAGGAAAATGGCCCTCTTAGCCCATCAGCTACACAGATGGTTCAATTCGATTAAACTGAGTAGTTTCGTTGCTGCTGCTCAAATCACAGAACGTTTCCCCAGACCAGGAGAAAGGTTGCTGCACGGCTTTTCTTGTCGGCCTCTGATGTCCCCTGACTGTCTCTACCCGGGACTTAAGACTCACAGGACTTTCTCCTTGTGGACTAGCTCCTGGACTAGCAACTCGAATGGGCGAGAGAATCATCCTGCCCACCATGCTCTGCTTCCTGCCGAGAATCAGCCATCCCAGGAGACACAAAAGCTACCAGACTTTGGTTCTGAGCTGTCTCCCGAAGGTAATTCTGAGCTTTAGGAACAGCATCCCCTCCGCCCTAGCCTCACTTCCTTCATTTGGGTTAGCCACTTATTACTCTCTGCTGGCCTGGTGCAGGTCCTGTCTTGTACCAGGCAAGAAACTATCTTCATTTGCTTGTACTGCATATTATTTTACTAAGAGATAAAGATTGAAGGTTAATTTGTATAAGATTTTATTAATTGGTTATATTAGGGTATGGTTTATGTCACATAAAATTCATCTGGGGTATGAACGGAACCATTGTATCACTCCATTAAGTTCCCCCATGCTTTCTGTGCTTCCTGTCATAGGAATAGAGTGTTTCACAAATGAGCTGACAGCTAAGTAGACTGTGAGGCTGGGAAGAGATGCTGACCCTAAAAAATGAGAAAAGGTAGTGAGTGGTAGGAGTGAAAAAAGAAAAATAATAAGAGATCAAGGGTCCAATCCCTTAGCTTATGGTATGTTACTACACTCCAAGTATCTTTCATACACGTTTGAGTTTAAAGAACAAAACCAAACCTCAAAGTCAAGGCTGTGCCAGGGTCATGCTGTTAAGCAAAGGGCAACAGGTGGGAGAAATAAAAGTCCTTTGAGATCAGAACAGAGACTTTTGTGGAAGTGATGAGTTTGATTCATGGAATAAAGGCTACTGGAATATGCCTTGTTTTTTTTGGCCAACTTAATAAGCTGTGTGTAGACTCAATCCCATTCTTACGCGTAAGTTGATCTTCATCATTTTACCTAATAATTGTACAGGCAGAGGAAAAAAATATGTGTACCTTGACACATAACCAAAAAATTTCATGTCTTTGAAGAGCACTGATTGATTTTTAAGCTATTGTTAACTTTACTTCTTAAAATATGTTTGGATTCCTGAAACATTTAATTCTAAAAGGATCCCAGGATGCAGCAAGTGAAACAAATGAGATGAAGTGCTTTTTTGCAGAAACAATGTTAAGTGTGGGTACTCAAACACTAACTTGCTTCTTTCCTTCCTCATGGTGGATGTGAAAGTACTGGATGACATGCCCCCATGGTCCCCACTGCAGCCCATCTCTGAAGAGGAGGCCATTCAGATTGTTGCAGACCCGGCACTGCCCCCAGCTTCATTCACGCTTAGAGACTATGTGGACCATTCCGAGACCCTGCAGAAGTTAGTGCTTCTGGGTAAGTCTGATCAATTGGCAGATATTTCTTAAGTGTACTCTTCATTTGAATTTTCATCTTTCTTAAGTTTTCAATTTTTGTCAAAGTAGTACATGCACATGTGCAAAAATCCAATATTATGCAGACTTCGAGTGAAAGACTGCAGTGTCCTGCCTTTATGCTTCCTGAGCTCCATCCCAGTCCCCATAGATATTTACTTTTGTCACTCTATATTTGAGTTCAACTCCACATTTTCAAGCAGTTGTTTACAGTGCTATTGCTTATTTCATCAGTTTAGTTTCAAATTTTAACTTTTTTGTTACATTCTGTGAAAGTTTTTATACTTGTTTTGGCTAGCAGGCAATAATTATTTATAGGTTTTCATGGGATACAGTATAATATTTCAAGACACTTATATACAGATCAAATACTCTGCATAGCACTTCCATGTGTTTGGAGCTTTGAACTCCTTTTCCAGTTCTTTATAAAACCTATAATAGGACATTGTGAACCTGTGTCACCCGCTGTGCTGTGGAGCACTAGCTCTCTGTTTTGTGCCTGTCTCCCCATCAGCATCCAGTAATCACTGTTTTACATCCATACCAGCACCTTTTTTTTTCCACATGTGAGAGAGAACATGCAATGTTTGGCTTTCTTACCGTAGTTCATTAGGTTGGGGTTTTTTATTTTTGCAATCCTCCACAAAACCTTTTTTTTTCTTTTTTAAGGTTTATTTTATATTCATTGGAAAGGCAGATTTCACAGAGAGAAGGAGAGACAGAAATATCCTCCATCTCCTGGTTCACTCCCCCAGATGGGTGCAATAGCCAGAGCTGAACTGATCCAAAACCAGGAGCCAGGAACTTCTGGGTCTCCAACGTGCAGGTGCAGGGTCCAAGGCTTTGGGCCATGCTCAACTGCTTTTCCAGGCCACAAGCAGAGAGCTGGATTGGAAGTGGAACATCAGGGACACAAACCAACACTCATATGGGTTCCCAGCTCACAAAAGTTGAGCATTTTAGCGACTAAGCCATCGCACTGGCCCAGTTATATTGCAGTCTTTTTTTTTTTTTTTTTTTAGATTTATTTATTTTTATTGCAAAGTCAGATATACAGATAGGAGGAGAAACAGGGAGGAAGATCTTCTGTCTGATGATTCACTTCCCAAGTGACTACAATGGCTGCAGTTGAACCGATCCAAAGCCAGGAACCTGGAGCTTTGGAGCTTTGGGGTCTCCCACAAGGGTGCAGGGTCCCAAGGCTTTGGGCCTTCCTCAACTGCTTTCCCAAGCCATAAGCAGGGAGCTGGCTGGAAAATGGGGCTGCCAGGATTAGAACAGGCACTCCTGGGATCCTGGCACATTCAAGGCAAGGACTTTAGCTGGGCCCGTATTGCTGCTGCTTACTCAATACAGAGTATGCTATTGTTTTCCCTTCCTGTACAATTTCATTTTCTTGGCGTTCACAAATGCCATGTTTTTCATTTGATGCAGTTTCTTTGTTTCTGGGATTAAATTTTCCCACAGTTTCCAGTAGTCTCTCAGGATGATTTTTTTCTCAGGCGCTCCATCAGCTGAGGTACTCTTCAGTTTTCCATGGTGCACTGCTACTTCTTGTGTCCTCCGGCCTGACCTTGCTCCTGGAGCACACTGTTCCGGTTTGGATTGTTTCCTGTGGAACTGCTTTGTAACTGTCTTAGCAGTGGGCCAGGATGCTGAGCTTGGATGCTGACAGAGGCAGCCAGGATCTCACTCTAAACTTGCGTTTAGTCTTCCTGCTTTCACTCAACTACCTTCTTGCAACCTTTTTCTTTCCCATTACATTTGGGTTTGGTACTTGTCTGCCTTGATTTCCACACCCTGTGAGAGGAGGAGGATATGTGAGGGATCAGAGTCTTATCATCCAGTCTTCCTGTATTCATCATGTGCCTCACCTCCAATCTCTCAGATTCCTAAGACTCCAGGTTTGAGTTTTGAGGGGCATAAGTTGATTTTCCTGCCTATGAAATGAGGAGGAACAAAAATGTTTTGGATTAGAGAGTTTGGGGGACTTTGGAATGTATTTACATCAGTTTTACCAGCTGGCTATTATAATGTAAAAGTCTGAAATTAAAATTCCCTGAAATTCAAAACTTTTTTTTAAGATTTATTTATTTTTATTGGAAAGGCAGATTTACAAAGAGAAAGAGAGACTGAGAGAAAGATCTTCTGTCTGCTGTCCTCCTCATGTGTTTACAACATCTGGGGTTGAACTGATCCAAAGCCAGGAGCCAGGAGCCAGGAGCCAGGAGCTCCTCCTCTGGGTCTTCCGTGCAGATGCAGGGTCCCAAAGCTTTGGACTGCCCACTGCTTTCCTAGGACACAAGCTGGGTGGGAAGTAGAACAACCAGAACATGAACCAGTGCCCGTATGGGTTCCTGGATGTACAAGGCGAGGATTTAGCACTGGACCATCATGCCAGACCCCTGAAATTCAGAACTTTTTGAGCATTGATTTGATGCTTCAGAAGTTCAGGACTTGAAAGTTCAGATCTCGGGTTTTCAGATGAGGAATGCTGATCCTGTCCCCATCAGCATGCTGCTGTCAGAATCTTCATTTGTTATCTTCAAAGCTCCTCTTTGATTAGTTTGTTAGCACTCTTCCATTTGTTGTATTTTAAGGATATAGATAAATCTTATTTAATTGAAGGAGTTTGTTTTTAATTCTACAGATTTAGAGGTGAGGATGGATTTGGTTTTGTTTTTGTTTTTTAGAGGAAAACTTTAGTTCTGTTGGAAATCATTAAGGGTTAGTCTCAATTCATGCTCTTTCTCTCACTCCTTCCATCTAATTTCCACCTTGTCCTGTAGATTTGGCCTTTCCTGTGTCTCTGGAATCCATCTGCTTCTCTACAGTCACTGCCTTTGAATCCTGCTTTGTATTTGCATGGATTGCTGGAGCCTCGCAGTTTGGTGGTCTTCCAATTCTGGGCCCTCACTTCATTCCCTGCTCTCTTCATGGTAGCACTAATGATAGTAAAAAACACATAAAAGCAGAGTAGAATGGTGGTCACCTGGGGTTGAGGAGAAGGGGAAGATTAGACAGAAAGAGCAAATTCTGTATATTACTGTGCATCTTGGTGGACCATCTTAATGGACCATATGCTTGAAAATTGCCAAGAGTGGGCCTGGTGTGGTACCCTAGTGGCTAAGGTCCTCACCTTGATTGTGCCAGGGTCACATTTGGGTGTCAGTTCTAATTCCAGTAGCCCCACTCCCAATCCAACTCCTTGCTTGTGGCCTGGAGAAGCAGTCGAGGATGGCCCAAAGCCTTGAAACCCTGAACCCACTTGGGAGACCCGGAAAAAAGCTCCTGGCTCCTAGCTTCAGATCAGCTTAACTCCGGCCATTGTGGCCACTTGGGGAATGAATCGTCAGTCAGAAAATCTTAATCTCCATCTCTCCTCTTCTCTGTACATCTGTCTTTCTAATAAAAACAGATAAATCTTAAAAATTTGCCAAAGGCAAATGATAAATATTTGTAAAGTCAGCTCTCTGGTGATCATGTGAAATGATAGAGGTGTTAATTAACTTGATTTAGTTTGTGTATGTGTATAGCTACTCATGTATCAAAACATCAGCTATAACCCATAAACACATGGCATTTTAAAAACATGTTCAGTGAGTTCAACGTGTCTGCTTTAAGAAGGTGAGCCAGTCCTCCTTAAAGAACAGCTTTCCTAGGCTGGCAGGCACTGCGGGTGAGACAAGGTAACCCTAACACATAGTTCCCATTCACAGTGCACTTACAGCTGTGGCCTATGTTCAGCCCTTCCTTCTTCAACGTGCTGATACTTCAGCAGATGTTTTAGGAGTAACTTAAATATTGGGGCGGGTTAGCACAGCAGTGGTTAGGACACCTCTTGAGACATGTGCATCTGCAATCACAGTGTCTGGGTTCAAGCCCTGCCTCTGCTCAACAATCCACGGGAGAGACCTGGCTTGAGTTCCCAGCTCTTGGCTTCAGATTACCCCGTCTGGGGAGTAAAGGAGTGGATGCAAGAGCTCTGTCTCTCTGCCCCTCAAATACATTTTACATTATTTTTTAGGCAGTACCTTAGAGAAAGCATGCCTGTTTTGAGAGTCCCTGTTTTTGAGTACCCTGGTCCTTTTCTTCTCAGTTTGCTGTGCAGGTTGGTTTTCTGTCTCTGCTCTGTGTTCTGGAGACCAGTCCTCTATGCGCTAGAGCTCCCCCAACAGCTGACTTCTGAGCAGCTTCAGCCAGTGGGAGGCTCCAGTAACACAGAGGACAGAGGTGCCAGGTAGGGGTATTTTTCCTGTTCCCTGCCATGTTTGAGCCCTGTAAATGCTCGCTCCATGACAACGGCTCTTCCTAGTCAGCCTTAATAGCTTCCAGCTCCCTCTGGTCCTGTCTGGTCATGGTAGCACTTACCCTCTGTGGTCTCCTAGTGCTTGGAGAGCCCTTGTTCTATCATTCTGCTCATGCCACCATATCGAGTCCCTTCAATAAAGTTCTTCTCATTCTGAACTTTTCTAGGGCAGGTTCGGTTGCCGCCCAGATCTCGCTTGATCAACTCTGTATAGCCATAATGAAAGACAATGGTGATCTTTGTAGTTATTAAACTGATGAGATAAAGCCCAACTACCAGTCACAGAGAGGTTAGACCATGCGTTATTCATTTTTACATCACTGCTTCCTAGCAGAAGTGCTGGGCCCACAGCAGGCATTCAGTGACTGTTCAAGTTAATGAAATGGTGAGCAAGTCCCAGTGCTTTGTACTTGGAGCAGTGAGCTCTCTTGATGAGATTTTGCCCTCCCATTTCTGGGGAAAACTAGCTCCTCAGGCCTTTCCTTTGCCGCACTGGCAGGGTGTGAGCACTCCTACCGAGTAAGGCACTTCTGCTCATGAGCTGTCATATGTAGTTAACGGGGAGTCTGGGCCCTGTATGTGCTTTCAAAGTACATGCTCTCCCATGCACTCAGATTTTTTTGGAACTCGTTTCCATCTTAATTATTTATCCATTTAATAGTTGGTTATATCTGTGTAATTTTGAAATTGCAAGAGGACCATATGTAGTTAGTACAGCTGTTTGAAGAGAAAGGTCCATTTTCCTCTCTCCGGTCCCGTTTCACATCCCAAAGGTAGCCACTGGTACCAGTTTGTTGAGAGTTTTCCAAGCTTTCTCTCCAAGATAGGAGGGAGTTTCAAAGGTTTTCTAGAAGTTTCACATCATCTTTTAATTCTCTTTTTCCAGGAACATAAACACTTGTGTATATTTATGTTATATGGAAAACCATACATTGGTTTTATGTTTTTCCAGAGCTGAACCTATACTATTTTTAAAATTCTGGCTTTTTTTTCTAGCCTAGTGAATATACATTTAAAATCTTAGTCTATTTGGAATTAACTTTTACATAACATTGAGAAATTGTAGTTTGGTTCAAAAGTATCCCAGTATATTTTTTTAAAACTTTACTTATTTATTTGGAAGGCAAAGTTACAGGGAGATACAGACAGATCTTCCACTGGTACACTCCCCAGATGACTGTAAGGGCCTGAACAGAGCTGCTGATTTGGAACCAGGAGCTGCTTCTGAGTTTCCCATGGGGCTTTGGGGCCCCAAGCACTTACTCTGCTGCTTTCACAGGCACATTTGCAAGGAGTTAGATCAGAAGCGGAATTTCAGCACTCAGATTGATATAGATTGGAATTCTGGCCTTTACTGGCAGTGACTACCCATGTTATACTAATGTAAATTCTTTCTCCATTTACTTGAAAAGTTATTATTATTGTATAGTTGATTTAAAATATATTTATCTGAAAGAGCAGCAGAGAGATTGTCCGTCTAATCATTTACTCCCCAAATGCTGGCAGCAGCCAGGGCTGAGCCAGGATGGTGTCAGGAGCAGGAAACACAGTCCGCGTCTCCCGTGGGAGTGGCCAGGCGTCAACTGACACCTCTGTATGGGGTGCAGGCATCCCAAGTAGCAATTTAAATTACTGTACTGCAGTACCCACTCTTCAACACCTGTTTAATGTCAGGAAATTTAGATATAGAAACGTTACAATGTAATATTTTAATTTTAATGAATATGATAGGTTATTTTTCTGGTTGTCGATGCCATTCAAGAAAGAATATTTTGGGGCCTGGCATGATAGCCTAGTAGCTAAATCCTCACCTTGCATGCACTGGGATCCCATATGGGCACAGTTTTGGATCCCGGCTGTTTCACTTCCTGTCCAGCTCCCTGCTTGTTGCCTGTGAAAGCAGTGGAGGAGGGCTCAAGGCCTTGGACCCTGCACCTGTGCAGAGACCTGGCTTTGGTTCAGCTCAGCTTTGGCCATTGTGGCCACTTGGACCAGCAGATGGATCTTTCTCTTTGTATATCTATCAAATAAAAATAAATAAATGTTAAAAAAAAAAGATATTGGGGTCATTATTTTGGGTAAAGCCTCTGCTTATGACAGTAGTATCCAGAGACTGGCACAGTGACTCAACAGGCTAATCCTTCATCTTCAAGTACCAGCATCCCATATGGGCATCGGTTCAGGTCCCAGCTGTTCCGCTTCCCATCCAGCTTCCTGCTTGTGGCCTTAGAAAGCAGCAGAGGATGGTCCAAGTCCTTGTGACCCTGCACCCGTGTGGGAGACCAGGAGGAAGGTCCTGACTCCTGGTTTCAGAACAGATCAGCTCTGGCTGTTGCAGCCATTTGGGGAATAAACCAGTGAATGAAAGATATTTCTCTTTCTGTCTCTCCTTCTCTGTGTAAATCTGCCTATCAAATAAAAGTGAATAAATCTTTCAAAAAAAAAAAAATCATTGGCATTCCATATGTGCACCAGTTCATGTCCTGACTTCTCAACTTTTGATCTAGCTCCCTGCTAATGACTTAGGGAAAAATCTTTTTTTTAATTAAAAGTCAGGTTTTTTTTTTAATTAAAGCTAATGAATTAGGGATAACAGCCAAGCTGACTCAAGTGCTTGTGCCCCAGAATCCAGATGGAAGACCTGGATGAAGCTCATGGTTTCTGGTTTCAGTCTAGCATGGCTGTTGTGGCCATCTGGGGAGTAAATTCCCAGGTGCAAGGTAATTCTGTTTCCTTCTCTCCCTCTCTATTCTGAAATAAATAAATCTTAAATATGTATTTTTTTATATTGGAGACTACACTACAATGCTACCTGTAGAACCTAATTTGAAATCCATTTTTAATCTGAGGATTTCTTTTTTAATATGAAATTTAGGAATGATAGGTGCGGGAAAAAGAACATAAAATTTGAATCTAAAGAGCATATGACATTATTTTCAAATGTTTATTCTTGAGATTAGGAATAAACCTTTTCATGTTGAAAAATAAAAACAAATCTAAAGAAAATCCCTAATTTTAACGAAAATTTTCAATTAGAGGTTAGTTTGATTTCTGCCTAATTAATGCTGAAATCTAATTATCTGTAACCAAAAAAAAAAAAGTTTGAAATAGCTGTTTCTTTCCCTTTTTTTTTTCAAAGATATACTTTCATTTTTATTGGAACGTCACATCTACAGAGTGAAGGAGAGACAGAGAAAGGTCTTGGATCTGCTGGTTCACTCCCCAAGTGGCATCAAAGGCCAGAGTTGAGCCAATCAGAAGCCAGGAGCCTCTTCCAGGTCTCCCACACTCATCCAGGGTCCCAAAGCTTTGGGCCATCCTCTGCTGCTTTCCCAGGCCACAAGCAGGGAGCTGGATGGGAAGTAGAGCAGCTGGGACATGAACCAGTGCCCATAAGTGATCCTGGTGCATGCAAGGTGAGTATTTAGCCACTAGGTTGGAAAGTCAGATATACAGAGAGAAGGAGAGATAGAGAGAAACATCTTCCATGTGCTGGTTCACTCCCCAAGTAGCTGCAACAGCCAGAGCTGAACCTATCTGAAGCCTGGAGCCAGGAGCTTCTCCTGGGTCTACCACTTGGAGACCGGGATATGAACCAGCACCCATGTGGGATCCCGGCTCATGCAAGGTGAGGACTTTAGCCAAACCTTCTCCCCCTTTTTATTTTCTCAGTTCTGCTGTCTCACTGAGGTTACCAGGATTATGGAACACAAGAATGTCGCTGTCCTGCAGCAAACAGCTTGGTGAATGGAGCCGGTAATAACACGCATGGACTACTGACTGGTGGCCAATAGCCACAAGTTTATTGACAGCACCAGACTTTTAAAGGAAGGTTGTCAGGCCCAGTGTGGTGGCCTAGCAGCTAAAATCCTCACCTTGAACATGCCAGGATCCCATATGGGTGCTGATTCTAATCCCAGCAGCTCCTGCTTCCCATCCAGCTCCCTGCTTGTGGCCTGGGAAAGCCGTTCAGGATGGCCTAAAGCCTTAGGACCCTGCATCCACACGGGAGACCTGGAGGAAGTTCCTGGCTCCTGGCTTCGGATCAGTGCAGCTCCAGACGTTGCGGTCACTTGGGGAGTGAATCATTGGATGCAAAATCTTCCTCTGTCTCTCCTCCTCTCTATATATCTGACTTTCCAATAAAAATAAATAAATCTTAAAAAAAAAATAAGGAAAGATTGTCATGTATGCATCTAGGAAGGATGGGCTTGAGCCATTTACATCTCAACAGCAAGGTACAATTCCCCAAAACACAGCTAATTCCCTTAGCAGGTTCTTTATCTAAACCTGTGAACCAGGATATATCCTGCTCAGTCATCTCTTCGACAGTGGCTCCTGGCTCCTTCAGAGGAGACTCAGCTGTCATGTCTCCCACAATAGCGAAGATTCTGAATGTCCTTCTCCTCAAGAGGGGTGATGTAGTGTGCGACTTGCCATACTGTGTAAATGAGGGCTTCATTCTTCATACCACTCAGACATTTCTCACCAGCCTTTGAGGAACTCATGTCATTGTGAAAAACGGAGAGATCACCATGATGAAAGCAGCACAGGAACGTTTTTATCCCCTCCAAAAAGAGGATCAGGCTCATATTTGACTGAAATATCAAAGAACGTCTTGATTTTTTTTTCATAAGATTTGTTACCCTGTAGCATGGCCTGCTTGACGTTTACTGAGTGGTCTTCCGGGCCTCACAGCACCTGCTAGCAGTATCCCCGAAAGCACAGACAGAGCTGCTGTCCTGTGTTCATTCATCTTTGAGGAGAAATTTAGCACCAAGTGCTCTGTTTCCTTCTACACTTAGCTTTGAAACAAATACAGCAATTTCGTTTTGTTTTTCTTTCTGCAACCCATTTCAAAACGCTAAAAAATACCTGTTGGTTGTTTTGCTCTCCTTTGGATAGGTCATTCATCTCCGGTAATTTCTTATGTTTATGTGTGAGAACTTTAACGGCTGAGTTAAGACATTATCTTCCAACATCGTTTATCATTCGTTGTAGGAGTGGATCTGTCCAAAATAGAGAAACATCCAGATGTAGCCAACCTCCTTCTGAGACTGGATTTTGAGAAAGACATTACACCAATACTGCTGTTTCTGAAGGATGTGGGTGTAGAAGACAACCAGCTGGGAGGATTCATCACGAAAAACTCTGCGATTTTCTCTGAAGACCTTGAAAATCTGAAGACCAGGTATGCAGGGCTTTGGGGAGGGTCACACATAGTCTGCCAAGTGGTGGCAGGGGAAACACACGCGTTAGTTGTCTTGACCTGAACCTCCTGAGATAGTGAGCAAGAATGTGGTCTGAGCTTGTTAATGCCTTTCTTCTTTCATTCATGTTTCAGCTGACTGCCCAGTCAGTATTTAAATGTTTCTCTGCAGTACAAACCTGAGCAAGTTTTTTTCTTTTGAAAGAAAAAAAATTCATTAACATAGATTATCTAGGAGAGGACTTAAAGTTAGGAAAAGCCTGATCTTTGGAACTTTTTCCTTCTTTAAAAAGCATATCGGTCCCGATGCAGTGGCCTAGCAGCTGAAGTCCTCACCTTGAACATGCCAGGATCCCATATGGGCACCAGTTCTAATCCCAGCAGCTCTGCTTCCCATCCAGCTCCCTGCTTGAGGCTTGGGAAAGCAGTATAGGACAGCCCAAAACCTTGGGACCCTGCCCCATGTGGGAGACCTGAAGGAGGTTCCTGGCTCCTGGCTTTTGATCGGCGCAGCATTGGCCATTGCAGTCACTTGGGGAATGAATCATTGGACGGAGAATCTTCCTGTCTCTCCTCCTCTCTGTATATCTGACTTTGCAATAATAAATAAATAAATCTTAGAAAAAAAAAAAGCACATTCACAAACATCTTACTCCTTCTTCCAATAGTCAGAGATAACTGAGTCTGAGGACAGTGAGATGATGCTGATCTGTGGGGTCTGAGTGCTCTTTGACCTGGAGAAGAGCAGATCAAGTCTCCGTCCTAGCATTCTGAACCACCACCACCCGCACATCTCTCTCAAATCAGTCAGCGCACTTTTTGGACCTTCACTGTGAACTTTCTGCCTTAGGTTCCCATCTTTTATAACAAGTTACTCTAGTAGTCTCCTACTTAGCCGGCCCCTAATGTCAACACCCAATGCCTAACCATGCTCAAGCTGTTCTTGACACAGATGCAGAGCCTTGTTAGTTCACAGAGCTTTGCAATTTCTTGAACCGTCATAATAAAATACCTTTCATTTGAAATAGCAGAAAACTAATAAAAATTGGTGTTCATGACATGAGATTTTGCATTTGACACTGTTGGGACACTCACATTGCCGAGCGACAGTGCCTAAGCTGGCTCTCTGCTGCAGCTCCTGACGCCAGCTTCCTGCTAACGCAGGCCTGGGAGAAAGCGTTAATGGTTCACCTCGTAGCTGACTATTGTGGGCATTTGCAGAGTGAAGTAGTGGACGAAAAATACCTCTGTCTCTGTTCTCTCTCTCTGCCTTTCAAATAAATAAATTTTAAAAAGAAAAACAAATATTGATACAACATGGCATTATATATAGACATGAATATTAAATGCTATTTAGAACAAGTTTTTATGTTAGATTTCCATTTTCATCTTTATTTTTGAAAATCTTGTACTTTTGGCTGTCTTTTTAATTGCACACTTTTTTAAGAGCATTCTTTTGGAAGATGCTGTTAGTTCTTCCTCTGAGACATGTTACACACAGACTTTGCAGATGGTCACTAGTCTTTGACTTTGTTCAGAGTACTTTTTTCTCATATTTTTACATAGGTAAGTTTTCTTCTGACCTTAATAAACTTCTTGAAAGGAGTAATGCAAACTTTGGAGCAAAGTAGACATATCATAAACTTTAGTTGCAGGCATGCTTGGGTGCAAATCTGTTTTATCATTAATTACTCAGGTGATAATTAGGTTGTGATCTAACATAAGTTATTAACTTGTGTTTTACTGCCCTATTTTGGTTGCCTGAAACTTAGGAAAATTTCTCAGTTGTTAATAAAATGCAGTTTAAAAGACTGTTATAAAAATTAACTGGGCCTGGGCCCAGCATGATAGCCTTGCAACTGAGGTCCTTGTCTTGAACGCACCAAGATCCCATATAGACACCGGTTCTAATCCCACCAGTCCCACTTCCCATCCAGCTCCCTGCTTGTGGCACGTGAAAGCAGCAGAGAATGGCCCAAAGCCTTGGGACCTGCACCCACTTGGGAGACCTGGAGGAGGCTCTGGGCTCCTGGATTCGTTTAGGCTCAGCTCCAGCTGTTGCATCCGCTTGGGGTGTGAACCATCAGATGGAGGATCTTCCTCTCTGTCTCTCCTCCTCTCTGTATGTCTGCCTTTCCAATAAAAATAAAATAAAAATCTTAAAAATAAATTGCTAGGCCTGACACAGTAGCCTGATGACTAAGATCCTTACCCTTCATGCTCGGGCATCCCATATGAGAGCAAGCTGAGATCCTGACTACTCCACTTCACTTTTAGCTCCCTGCTTGTGGCCTGGGAAAGCAGCGGAGGGTGGCCCAAAGCCTTGGGACCCTGCACCCATATGGGAGACCCAGAAGAAGCTCCTGGTTCCTGGCTTCGGATCAACTCAGCTATTGCTGAGCCGTTACAGCCATTTGGGGAGTGAGCCAGTGGATGGAAGATCTTTCTCTCTGCCTCTCCTTCTCTGTAAATCTAACTTTCCAATAAAAAAAATCAATAAACAAATCTATTTTAAAAATTACTTAGAGAAATCGCTAACAAATGTACTGATATAAATAAATCTTCCTAGAATCATGGTTTAGGTTCTTTCCTTATAAAAACAGTTCTGAATCCTTTATTTTCCCAGTTTGTGTTTTGGCCATTGTTAACCTAAGCGAACAAATTAAAAATTTAAACAGAAGCAATTTCATTTTTTTCCTACCAGATAATAAATTAAAATTATCTAGTAAGGAATATATCTATTATTATGTTTTAGAATTGTGTTCTGTTTTCAGGCATAAATGGACACCATCTTACAGTTGAGTAAATGTTTGTTTTAATCATATGTAGGCCATTATTACAGTATATTTGTATTAACACCCCTTTTTTGGCATGTGGTCTGTTTAAAAACAGTTTTCATTTTCAAGTGTAACACGATGGTAGTAGATGTTCATCATTTATGTGTCTATTTCTCTAGGGTGGCCTATCTTCAGTCAAAAAATTTCACTAAGGCAGATATTGCACAAATGGTCAGAAATGCACCATTTTTACTGAATTTTTCAGTGGAACGACTGGATAACAGATTGGGATTTTTTCAGAAAGAACTTGAACTGAGTGTCAAGAAGGTAAAGAGTGGAAAAACATTTTCATGTATGTTCCATTAGTAACTGTGATCTATCTTGTTGTTATCAGATGCCAGCCTATATAACCCCAATAAAGTTAAGGCATTTTCCATACATAAATGAGTTACCTTGTTGGGTTAAACATAAAGGGTTCATCTTATAACATTCCAGCAAACTGGTTCCTTGGATTTCATTTTCAATATCTTTCTTCCTCAAACAGTGTGTGCACTAAATTTCTGTATATCTGGGATTAGTATCATTTCTCATATTTTCAGATTTTAACTGCGTTCTCTATCTTAATTTTCTAAAGTAGTTAAGTATGCACATATAGTAATAATAATTTGTTTTGTTTATGCAACAGACAAGAGAGCTGGTAGTTCGTCTCCCAAGGCTACTCACAGGGAGTCTGGAGCCTGTGAAAGAAAATATGAAGGTAGGGGAATTTTGACATTTTACCAGATCAACTTCTTTCTTTCTTCTGCAGACACCATCATCTTAAAGAAAACTAGATTTTAAAAGAAATTATTTCAAAAAAATAGAGAAATTGAAATGATATAGCAAACATTAACAAGTAGTGTGTTTTAGTTAAGAAGCCTCGCCCGTGTTGACAAAGTGGTGTAATGTGAGCAAACTACCTCGTTGATGCTGCTAATCATAACCCTGGCCTTATTACATATGGGCATGAGTGGCTTGTGGCAGCGGCTTTCTTGCCAGCGTAAGGATTTATATCTTATCAATTAGAGGATGGTGGATTCCAGATGACTTTGGAGTGGGGAGTGGCCGCCAGCAGATAGCTCTCCTTAACACTGATGCCAACTCCCAGTACATCCAACACTTCATTGTCCTTCCTTGTTAGTATAAAGCTGAGAACAGCTAACTGGTTAGTATATAATATAGAAGTAGAGTCATGGGCCTAGCGTGGTGGCCTAGCGACTGAAGTCCTCATCTTGCCTGTGCTGGGATCCTGTAAGGATGCCGGTTCTAAACCCATCAGCCCCTCTTCCCATCCAGCTCCCTGCTTGTGGTCTGGGAAAGCAGTCGAGGACAGGCCCAAAGCCTTGGGATCTTGCACCTGCGTGGGAGACCCTGAGGAAGTTCCTGGCTCCTGGCTTTGGGTTGGCACAGCTCTGGCCATTGTGGTCACTTGGGGAGTGAATCATCGGATGGAGGATCTTCCTCTCTGTATATCTGACTTTCCAATAAAAATAAATAAATCTTAAAAAAAAAAAAAAAGAAGTGGAGTCATGAATCAGTCCTTGGATTGTTACATGAACATCACAGGCCAAGTGGTTATAGCCTACCACACATGTGGACTATATAGTTTAGCCATCAATATATATATACCATCTGTCACTGACTGCATGTTGTTAAATGCACCTGAGTCTTGGAAATAATTGTGCAAGGCTCATTATCTGAGGTGCTGAAGTAGATTAGGGTCATGCAAGGATCCTTACTGAGCAACTACCCAAGCACTCTGTTGAAACAGCCCGTGCGTGCCCTCATGGAACCTAGAGTCCTGTGGCGGTTAAAGTTAAAATTCACCAGTGGTCAGATCAGCAGCTTAGTTAGGGAGCATAGCCAACAAGGAAAGTGCATAAAGGGCCTCATTCGTGCTTGGGTTTTTGGTTATGTCATCTCCACGTGGGATCTGACATGCAGTTTTCCAGGGAATGTGGTTGTGAGTGTACTCGGGAACAGATTCTCAAAAGACATTTGAAAACGATTAAGCAACTCGCCCTCCCTTGTCCACTAGTGTTCAAATGGTCAGCACCATGATCCTCTTGCTGTAGGGAGCTCATTCCCAGCAGAGGGGTTTGGAACTCACCCCAGAAACAGGAAGCTGGGGCATTGAGGTGGCTGTCTCCAGATTCTTAAATGTCATTATTTTAAATTTTGAAATGATCAATATACCCTCTGGCGTAAAACCAAAGTAAGTGTGTTCATGACTTAGGAAATTTCCTTTCTTTTAGGTTTATCGTCTTGAATTTGGTTTTAAACATAACGAAATTCAACATATGATCACCAGAATCCCAAAGATGTTAACTGCCAATAAGAGGAAACTTACCGAGACTTTCGATTATGTGCACAATGTGATGCGCATTCCTCACCACCTCATTGTCAAGTTCCCACAGGTAATTCAGGCCACAGCTGTCTGGGAGAGCCCCATCCCCCACCTGCAAATGCCCTCCAGGACAGAGCACTTCCAGGACGCACGTCTACCACTTCTGATGAAAAAAAACGTGATGAATCAGTGACCCTGTGGTTCTTACCCCCTCCTTGTCTGGCTTGTTAGGGTCAAGCAGCCCAGGTCTAACATAGCCTCTCTTTTTTTAATTTAAAATATCTCACTTCCCATGAAGGTTCTTTCACTGTTCCCATACATTTTATTCACAGCCTGTCTAAATCCATGGATTCACAAGCAGAGTAATGATTGCCTGTTAAAGCATAGAACGGTTCCAGTTTGACATTACCCCAAAGCTATGTATTTGCTGAACTAATCACCTTGGTGGTCTTTACCTTATTTGAATTATATTACCTGCTGTTCACAAGAATGCTAACTCTTTGAACACTGCCAAATCTGCAGTGCTTACAACTATCCCTGGCACTTAAGTATTTGTTGAACAACTTGAATGATCAGATTCCACAAAATTATCATTCATTCCAGCTTGCCATGTGAATAAGTACTAAGTAAGTACTACTGGATGAATGGCAGGTAGAGTTTCACTGAAGTACTGAAGTACTCTGCTGATATTTTCATTTTAACATGAACAAATATATATATATTTATATAACCTTAATACGACTCAGATCTACATTGCATTTGTTCGTGTTCCTTCACATACAGTGATGCTCATTTGCCTCTCATAACTTCGGTGAGTAGGTTCAGTGTTCTTCAGAAATTTGTGCGAAATGGAATTAAAAGATAAGTTTAGGGGCAGGCATTTGGTCTAATGGTTCTTTTCTCTCTTTAAAATTTTTTATTTAGTTTACTTCTGTAGACTAAAAGATCTTACTTGCTCAGGCTAGAGACTGACATGGAGGTCTGTTTATTTTTAATCCTTAAGAATTTAAAGGAGTGTTCACAGGATGAAATTTTGGTGACGATGGCAGAGTGGCTCCTGAGGGTCCACAAGCCCCTTTCCTCCTTAAAAAAGGAAAAACTAATCTGTAAACTGTAAGCTGTAATATTTGGACTTGAAAAAGCATATAGCTTATAATAAAGAAACACACTACTGAAAAATGTCTGCTTAGAGCTATAGAAATGTTTCAAAATATAATATTTAGGAATTGAAGAAGTTTGGGAGCTTTGGATTCATTTGTGATTTTGTCTATATGTTATTTGGTATTTTTTTTTTTAAGCCAAGAGTCACTGCATAGGAATCATACTTCAAGAAAAACACCTAAAAGCTTCACTGGCAGTGGTAACATGGTCATGGGAGTTACCAAAGAGATAGAATAGTATTTAATTTGCTTTGACAGAGACAGAAAAATGTTTTATCCAGAGGTAGTTTGTCCAAAGACAAACCAGCCACATCTTTTTTTTTTTTTTTTGTTCTTTAGATTTATTTATTTTTATTGAAAGGCAGATTTACAGAGAGAAGGAAAGAGAAAGAAAGATCTTCAATCTATTGGTTCACTCCCCATGTGGCCACAACAGCTGGAGCTGAGCCCGTCCAAAGCCAGGAGTCTCTTCCTGGTCTCCCATGTGGGTGCAGGGTCCCAAGGCTTTGAGCCATCCTCTACTGCTTTCTCAGGCCACAAGCAGGGAGCTGGAAGGGAAGTGGAGCAGCTGGAATCCAAACTGGTGCCCATAATGGATTCCGGTACAAGCAAGGCAAGGACTTTAGCTATTAGGCTACCATGTCAGGGGCCCACTAGTAGCATTTTGACTCAGCACCCCCCACTTTTGGGGGGTCACTATTTCAAAGTACTTTTTTCTCACGGTGTCCTTTCCAAGCCACCTATTATTTGCTTTACATGTAAAAGTAGGAGAAGACATGTAAGATTTTGTGCTCTGAGACCAGATTTTCCAGTGTGTCTAATACACATAGCCAAAGGAAGAATGGGAGTGGTCTGCCAGATCTCTCTTGTTTCAGGACCCTTGGGCGGGTGCAGTGACGTTTCCCAGGTCTCCCTTCTTTCCTGGGGCAGGTTATAAGGACATTGCCTATTACCAGTTCTTTTTTCAAGTTGGTGCCAGTCACTAGACTCCTTAGGAGTTTTTTGTTTGTTTGTTTGTTTTTTTGTTTTTGAGGTCATAATATCCTTAGGCATTTTAATCCACACAAATAAAACATACTTTCCTCTAATTGCTGACAAAACAGGTAAGATTTATTTCATTTTTTATTCTCTTTGGGGAGCAGCAGGCTGTTAACAACAAAGCGAGTACTCTAGAATGAAATCTTACAGCCAGTTTTTTCAGTGTCATAGATCTTGATCTAGAACATTGTTTCTCTAACGTAAAAGCCATTAGAATCATCTGGAGACCTTGTTTTTAAAAAATCACTTTAGGGGGCCCGGCGCGGTGGCGCAAGTGGTTAAAGGTCCTCGCCTTGCACGCCCCGGGATCCCATATGGGCACCGGTTCTAATCCCGGCAGCCCCGCTTCCCTTCCAGCTCCCTGCCTGTGGCCTGGGAAAGCAGTCGAGGACGGCCCAAAGCTTTGGGAACCTGCACCCGCATGGGAGACCCGGAAGAGGCTCCTGGCTTCAGATCGGCATAGTATCGGCCGTTGCGCTCACTTGCGGAGTGAATCATCAGACGGAAGATCTTCCTCTCTCTCTCCTCTCTGTATATCTGCCTTTCCAATGAAAAAATAATAAAAATAAATCTTTTAAAAAAAAATCACTTTAGGGTCCTACTTTTACAATTTCTGATGGTCTAGTTTTGGGAAAAGACCTGAGGATTTGCTTTTTTACACATTCTACCCTGTTTTAAATCCCCTTTTCATCATGAATTTCTTAGGCTCTTGACTTCAAACCCTGGGACATTTATCATGTTTACTGAGCATGTAATCAATACTTTGTTTCTGTTTAGCTACTAAAATATTTAGGTAGGTAACTGTTTTAGTTTTTTATCATTCAGTGTGCAATAATTTTTAAATAACTTTTTTTTTTCTTTTCTAGGTATTTAATACAAAGTTCTTTAAAGTCAAAGAAAGACATTTGTTTCTTGCCTATTTAGGAAGAGCACAGTATGATCCAGCAAAACCTAACTATATCTCTTTGGACAAATTAGTATCTATTCCTGATGAAATATTTTGTAAAGAGCTTGCCAGAGCCTCAATACAGGACTTCAACAAGTTCTTAAAAACCCTTTAGCTTTTGGTGAATGTTAAAATGAAATTTTGTAGCATCAGCAAATATACATATGAATAAATTAATGTGTTTTTAAACAAATGTTTGATGTTTCAGTTGATATTTGAAATGTTCTGAAGAGTTATATACTCATTCATTCATTCATTCATTCATTCAAAAAAGCAAAACAGAGAAGGAGGGAGACAGAGGAAAGAGCCCTTCCATCTGCTGGTTCACTCCATGAATGATTATGATAGCATTGCAGCATGGAATGCTAGCCTCTCAAGCGGTGGGGCTTCACTTTCTGAGCCACAAGATCAGCCCTGGAAATCAATTTCTTGATACTTGAATATGCACACTGGTGGATTTCCTATACAAATTCCTAGTAACTTGATTCTTGTCTGAACCGTTAAGGAGAGAGCTAGAAATTTAGTAAGCTCAGGAAACAAGAGCTGGTTTACTTGAGGCTCAGGTATTCAGAATTGTCCACAGTGAGCTGCTAAGGGTCAGGAATGAAGCAAGAAAAGTAGCTTGAGGATAAGTAGAAGTTAGACTAAAAGTATGTAACCTTTTGACTTACAGCCAAGAATTGCTTCATTGCTCCCAATGGAAATTGATGACTTTTTCCTGATCATATACTATCTTGGTAAATAATTCAGTCTCTGAATTTAAAATGGCACATCATGACCTCAGTTACCTGTCCTTGCAATCCCCAGATTGGATAGACTGTTAACATGGATGTCTCCCATCAAAGCCCCACCTGCACTCTTGAGAAGTACCCCAACACACACACACACACACACACACACACACACACACACACACACCCTCGGCCAGTGTGAATCGGCCCTTGGAGCATGGAGCACTGTCAAGCAGGAGCTTTAAAAGCGCTTGCACTCAGGGCTTGTCCTCTTGGCATCAAGCCACTCCATAAAGAAGTCTGGTGACCCTACTGGAGACACGCGGTGGCAAAAGAGATGGCTGCCCAAACTCCAGCTATTCAGCCAGGCTAACTGAACACCCATGGAGGCAAAAGAGTGATTCTGAACATTCAACACATACATGGAAAGAATGACCCAGCAGACTCAAAATCGGGAGAAATAAAGTGCCTTAAACCATTAAAATCAAGAGTAGCTTGTGCCACACAGGTTACTGGTTTTCTATAAGACATTTTATAGGAATTAACTTTGCAATTGGTCACGGTGGGGGCCAGTCACCTTCCTGTGAGAGATTTTATTCATTTGGCATTTGAGTTCTAGAACACTGTGAGTATGGCATACATACATGCTTTCACAGAGAACAAGGAGAGAGGTGCAGCTGGCAGCTGAGGCCTAGAGGCACCCGGCCTGATCCTCCCAAGGTGCTGGAGCTCCGCTTGCCCTTTGTAACACCCACTCATGACAGAGGAGGCCAGGTACTGCTAACACTCCTAAGCCCTCCAATGTTGTAAGGCCTCCAAAGCTTATCTCCTACATGTCCCCAACGGGGTCTGTTCCACGCCACCTTTAGAGGTACAGGTGGCTGCATTCTGTAGTAGGTCTCCACCCCAACTGCAATGTGCCAGTCACCAAAGAGAAACGAATATGGGAAACTGTTCTTCAAAACATTTTTGACATAGCCATGCTTAATTTTTTTTTCAAACTTGGATCAGCGAGATCGACAGTATTTCAGGACTATTGAAACCACTTGGGCAGAACCCTCGGAGTATGCACCACACCGGGACTCTGGGTTGATGTCCATTAGCCATTTCCCATCTCCAGGTACTGGGACAGTTGCGAGGCTGGGTATGCCTCTCCCCTTATCCTCCCCTCTTCCTTCAGAAACAGGAAGAAAGAAAATTTGGTAACAATGATCACATCCATTTTTCCCTAATCCTCGATCCTTTCCCACCTCTTCAGCTATGTAAACATCATCAAAAATAAAATTAAAAGATTTATTTATTTGTTTGTTTATTTATTTGGAAAGGCAGGTTTACAGAAAGGAGAGGTAGGAAGATCCTCTATCCAAGGGTTCACTTGTCAAGCGGCCGTAACAGCCGAAACTGAGCCAGTTTGAAACCAGGAGCCAGGAGCTTCCTCAAGGTCTCCCATGCGGGTGTGGGGTCCCAAGGTTTTGGACCATCCTCTACTGCTCTCCCAGGCCACAAGCAGGGTGCTGGATGGGAAGTGGAACAGCCTAGACACAAACCGGCACCCATATGGGACCTTGGAACTTGCAAGGAGAGGATTTAGTTACTGGGGCCATTGTGCTGGCACAGTCATGCTTAATTTTAAAGGGGCAAAAGTGCCAATTCTAGCCTGTGCCAGGAGGGAACTAAACCAAAAATAACTTTATAGAGTCTGCATTGAGGATTTCCAGAAAACATCCAGGCTCTACAGGCTAAACACTAGTTGCAAGTGGATTGTGTGACAAACCTCAGTAGCATTCCTGGACAGTGCAGTCTTTCTCTTGCTGACTGTTGCAAGGGTAAGGAGAGCAGGATGTATGGAGTCCCTGTCCTTTGTATAAATGTACCGCTTTTCCTCGCGGCTTCAGACTTCCCTTTGGGAATGGGAGAACCTGCCTGCAGAGCCGTGCCGTGAAGGAATTGTAGCAGCACACACAGGAGGGAATGGGGAAAAGGCAGACGTTCTAGAACTGCTACCTGACTAACACCATGAAATCTAACATTTCTAATTTCAGCGAGTGTTGTTTACTATCAGGTCTCTGCTTCAGAATGAGGAGACTGCTGGAGGATGCTGGGAGCTCATTGTCATACTAACTTTCCCAATTACCCCTACATTCTAACACCCCGAATTTCACACGTTGGGGCTGAGACATTGAAATTCAGTAAACTCATGTGCTTCTTTTAAAATTGTATGCGAATTCTTTAAAACATGTACACCCTGGGCCCGACAGCGTGGCCTAGCAGCTAAAGTCCTCGCCTTGAACACCCCGGGATCCCATATGGGCACCAGTTCTAATCCTGGCAGCCCCGCTTCCTATCCAGCTCCCTGCTTGTGGCCTGGGAAAGCAGTCGAGGATGGCCCTAAGCTTTGAGACCCTGTACCCATGTGGGAGACCCAGAAGTTCCTGGCTCCTGGCTTCGGATCGGCACAGCACCGGCCGTTGTGCTCACTTGGGGAGTGAATCATCGGACGGAAGATCTTCCTCTCTGTCTCTCGTAGTCTCTGTATAATCCACCTTTCCAATACATAAATAAATCTTTTAAAAAAACGTGTACATCTTTAATATAATTTTTTAAACTCATGTCTTTTAAAGCTCTACTTCCTTTTAAAAATGTCTGAGAGGCAGGGGAACACAGACAAATCTTCAGTCTCTTGGTTTACTCTCCAAAAGCCTGCAGCAGACAAGAGTCGCCTATATGGATGGCAGGGACGGGGGTGGGCATTAGGAGGAAGGTGGAATTGCAAATGGAGCTCAGAACTGGAGCTGCAACCAACCCAGGCACAGGGACGCGGTGTGAGGGTTCCCAATGCCTATGCCAAATGCCCTCACCTTCATGTCTTAAATGTCTTTCTTGCACTAAAATAGCAAGATGGATCTTCGGTTAGAGACACTGAGGGCCAGAGAGGTTTACTGGTTCGTTTTTCTGGATTACCACTGTAGTCTATGACTCTAGATTTATTTTCTTAACAGATTTTATGTAAAACTCTGTAAAGAAACCATTGCAGGCCCGGTGCTGTAGCCTAACGGCTAAAGTCCTCGCCTTGAATGCACCGTGATCCCATATGGGCGCCAGTTCTAATCCGGGTGGCCCCACTTCCCATCCAGCTCCCTGCCTGTGGCCTGGGGAAAGCAGTTGAGGACGGCCCAATACTTTGGGACCCTGCACCCGCGTGGGAGACCTGGAGGAGGTTCCTGGATCCTGGCTCCGGATTGGTGCAGCACCAGCCGTTGCAATCACTTGGGGAGTGATTCATCAGGCAGATCTTCCTCTGTGTCTCTCCTCTGTATCTGACTTTGAAATTAAAACGAAAGAAAGAAAAAGGGGGGAAAAATTCCCTTTAAAACAAAAAAGCAGCGCGCTGCCTGGCTCCCATGGACTCACGAATACTTCCCAAGGACTCACACCTGGCAATATCAGGACGTGGACTCAGACCCCTGGCTCCTCATTCCTGGCCATGAAGCCACAGGGAAAGCCGCACCCGCCTCACCGGGTGGGAAGAGCCTGCGACAGGCGCGCCACAACTGCGCCTGCGCCAAGTCCCCCGCACCGCGCGCTGTGACGTAACGCGCCTGCGCACTGGGCCCCTCGCGCGTCCTCTGTCCTCGGGTCAACATGGCGGGGCGACCTGCTGGTAAGTGACTGACAAGGGGGGTCTTACTTGGTGAGTGTCGCTGCGCTCAACCTTTTGTTCTCGAAATAGCTTGCTCCTCTTGCTTTGCTCTCTCTAAATGGCAGGCGTGTGCGGCGTGAGGGGAGGTGGCAGCTCCGGTCCAGCCTGAAGGGCGTGCTTCTGCTCTGAGCGCCCCCATGGCTGTCCCCTGACAGGATTTACCTGGAGGCTTGGGACGTGGGTGGGCTGCGGGGTTAGGAGCCCGGGGGGCTCTCATTCCAGCTGCGGCACTCGGCAGCCCTGCCCCGGGCGGCCTTAGCCGTGTTGAAGGACGAAGGCCAGCCTGTCCCGGTCACCTTCCTAGCCCGCTGCATTTCCTTCTCATCCCACCGTGAGCCCGGTAGGAGACAGGTGCCCAGGAGATGTCTTCCCCGGTGTGACATGAGCTTTGCGGGTTTGGCGAAGCTGTTTGAGAATTTCTTGCTAATCTGACAGGTGGCGAAGGAAGCAGACTGCGTTGCAGACTTCCCGCTGCCGTGTGTTTTACTCGGCCTCACGCACACCTGATCCCACTAGCTAGCTCTCACGCTGGGGTGGGATCCTGCTTCTTCTTCGTGCAGGGCAGGAGCGTTGTAAATACACCAAGCTGAACCTGGCCGTGACCTCTCGCGAGTGTGTCCACAAGCCGTGTTCTACAGGGTGTTTAGATCGTTCTTGGAAACTCGGGTTTTGGGTTTTTTTCCAGAAGCGATTTTATACAGCGCTCTTAATTTCCCGAGCCTTGTAAGCCATAGCGTACTGTGGAATGGGGGTCGGGA